GGGAGTTACAGTGACGAATGTAACACCCACTCTACAGAAGAGGACACCAAAGCACAAAGAACAACTTTCCCAAGGCTGAGGTAGACATTCTGAGTCCCTTAGCACCTTCTGTGTGGGCAACAAGTTTACAAAAGTCACTCCTTGACTTAACCAAGAGTGTAAGAATCTCCTCTACTTTCTGTCCACATTCAGAAGCCAGAGAGACTGGGTCTGAGGTGCACTGAGGGTGGTGGGTCTGAGATGCACTGGGGGCACAGGGTCTGAGATGCACTGGGGGCGCTGGGTCTGAGGTGCACTGAGGGTACTGGGCGAAGAAACCAGAATATGCCTGTTTCTCCACGTATGTTTCATTTGTGTCTTGCTACGTTGTCACCCCGGTTGGCCTGGCATTTCTGAGGTACACTAGGCTGGCCTTAAACTCTAAAGATCTTTTTAACACAGTCTCTCCAGTTCTAGGGTTAGGGTGCAAACCCCCAGATCCCGCTCCTTCACATTTGGTTGCGATCTAAATAACAAACAAACAAAAACCCCTAAATCATTACAAAATATTTGGCGCACAGCACGCGCTCCCTAAGAAAATGACTACCGTATGCTTGTCCCCTACTTTGCCTGGGCTTTTGTCTTTGTCTTGAGGTTCTCTTTGGGTACAGGTCAGTTTTGGGGGTTCGTTGTGTCTCTCATGGAGCTCCTGTCCCGAGAGGTACTCAATAGATGCCTAGTGACTGAATAAACACGAGCCAGAGACAAGCGATCATGGTGATTACTGGGGAAGTTGTAATTAAAAATAAAAAGAGCTGAGTTCATTCATTTTATTTACGAATGTCTCTCTTGGGAGTGTCCTGGGGAGGGAAGCCGGGGTAGGGGCTTTTTCCTAAACTCTGACTTCAGATTCCATCCAGACTGTTAGGCTCTGCGAGTCCTTCCACCCCAGAACACCCTCGTTCCTTTCGCAAAGTACACAATTATTTGCCTCTTACTATGTACACAGCATATATTTGTTATAGAAAATTCAGAAAACACAAATAAACAGGGAGAAAATGTAATTTTCTTTTCTTGTATAGCAGGCTGGCCTAGACTTCCTTATGTAGCTGAAAATGACCTTGAACTTCTGATCCTCTGCCTCCACCACCCAAATGTGGGGTTTTCAGGCATGTGCCATGCCCGGCTTTTGTGGTGCAAGGGACTGAGCTCTACCCGGTGATCCACATCCCTAGTCTCTTTGGAAGGCACTTTAATCCCACTTTGTATATTTCTAGTCTCATTTTGTTTGTTTGTTTGTTGAAACAGGGTTTCTCTGTATAACAGCCCTAGATGTCCTGGAACTAGTGCTATAGACCAGGCTAGTTTCGAACTCGCAGAGATCTGCCTGCTTCTGCCTCCCAAGTGTTGGGACTAAAGGCATGTACTACCACCGCCCGGCTCTAGTCTCATTTTTACACACCTTTTTCCTTTGCCTTTTCCCATAAAATCACAAAGAACCCATTAGACCTTTTTTTTTTCTTAGCCTTCCACAGGTATGTAGCATGTGTGTTTTTTAACATATGTAGATACTCTTCTACAATGTGACTTTCAATGGCTGAGGAGCCGAGTTAGCCCATAATTTACTCAAGCAGCCCTTGACTACTGAAAAATTTGAACACAGAACTCGTTCCCAATTCTTTTCATTATTGTAAATAACTCTAATGAATTTCCTTGTCCATAAATAATCCCATGAAGTCTTTCAAGTGGATTTGCTGAGTTAAAGAGCACGCATACATTTCAAAGCCTTTGAGGCCCATCTCCAGACTGCCCCCTCCGGGAGGGTGTTGTAGGTCGGCCCTCCCTCAGGCAGCGTCACCAGCCCACAGCCACCGCCATCCCCATCCCGCTCTCTCCAACCTTCAATGTTCTCTCTCTCTTTTTAACCCCTGCTAATTTAATGGGTGAAGGAGCCTGTGATTCCAGTCATGAATCCTTATTAGAAGCAAGCTGGCCACATGCAGGGGCTGTTTCAAGGTTCGAGTGGCCTTGCTGAGATCCACAGCCTCGGCAGAGATGGGAGAAAGCCTCCCAGAGCCGGAATTGAAAGTGAGGTCCTCTTCTCATCTTCAGCGCCGCAGCCAGCAGCCCCTGGGTTTTGGGCCTGTGTGCTCAGCCCGTGTAGGTGAAAGGGATGGGCTTGGTCAGCCTTCCAGCCTCACCTGGATTGAGCTCCCTCGTCCTCCCACAGATCCACCTGCACCTTCCAGAAACCTCCTGACAGAAACTCCTTAGGGGTTTGTATGCCATAAATACTACCTGTTTTTGCGAGCTCAAGAGCCACTTGGTACTTGCTTTCGGTTTTCCTGCCTGTCTCGGCTCCAAGCTAGGAGCCGGGTGTTTTTCTAACTGCTGCCGCTGCTGCTCCTGCGACCTTCTGCTTCTGGCTTTGCCCTCATTAAGTGGCATTTTTGGTATTTGTGTTTACCCCTGTCTGGTCATGAGAAGAGTCCCAGGTGGCTAATACTTTCTTAGAGGAACCATTCCCTGGTCCCGTTGTCTCCAGTTCCCTATCACATTTCATTGCGGTTTCAGCATCGCCCGTGCCATCTACCTGGAGAAGAAAATAGTGTTCAAGTTCAGGGATGCCGGAGGTGGGTATAAACACACATAAACATAAATAAAATGCAAACCGTGCACACATAGTCACACCGTGAGAGGCAGGTATTGGGGTGTGGGTTTGAAAATGTAAAGGAAATGCACCAGGGACCCCTGGACCCCCTCCGCAGCTTTGCCTGGGAAATTCAGGATGTATTTGCACAGTGCTTCTTAGGGCTGAGAGCTGAATGGGGCGAGTGTCTTTCTAGTGAAACCGTGGAACCCCTTATTTTCCAAACTAGGGGTTAAACTTAAGGCCTTGTAGATGATAAGCAAGTGTTCTACCACCAAGTTACACCCTCAGACCTTTTTTTATTGTAGTTTTTCAGATTTATTATTTTCATCTTGGCATGTGATCTCACTGAGCTACTCAAGTTCTCCTGGGACTTTCTCTGTAGGTCAGGCAGGCCTTGCATTTTTTTCGGTCCTCCTGCCTCAGCTTCCCGAATAGCTGAGATTGCATCCGGGGCTGCACTACCAGGTCAGGCCCCTGTGTCCCTTTAGAGAAGGTTTGGAGGTACGACTGTGCCCTGTACCCTGGCAGGCTGTACTACCAGGTCAGGCCCCTGTGTCCCTTTAGAGACGGTTTGGAGGTACGACTGTGCCCTGTACCCTGGCAGGCTGTACTTGAGTTGGCAGCAGATACCCGAATACACAAAGGGACAGCCAGGTAAGGGGCAGGGCTGCCTGCTGACATCACCTCTTACCCAAAGACCCATGGGCCAACACCTTAGCCACTCCCATGCCTGCCAGGGCGGGGTAGGCCTGGCACCAGAGCCTGTTGAACAAGATAAACCTCAAGATTGAAAAGTCAGAAGGACCTGCCTCCCCTCTTTCCCCTTATCCTCTTAGTAAAGCCACACTTCCCATGGCTGCTTGACTCCTGCTGCACCTTTGTACCTGTCCTCTCTGCTTCCCCCATTTCTCTGCTCATCTGAAATCAGCCCCAACTTTTGCGAGCACAGGCCCCGCCTCTTCAGTCCTAGGAGGCAGATCCTGCCTGAGGCTGGCATGGCCAGGCCACAGGCAAAGGCAACTCGCTTTGCCACTCCAGAAGTGGCCATGCTTCTTCCCAACAGGACCTGTGGAGGTGGCAGCCACCTATGGCACCAAGTCCCACAGAGGGCGGGGCTGGCCAGGGAGGCAGGAAAGAGCTGTTTTGCTGATGAAGTGCCTCGTGTCACATGGGTAGGAGTGCCAGGTAGTTGAGAGTGGGTGGGAAGGACCTCCCAGCTCTGCCAGGCTGGCCGAGGTGCATGCAGCAGCTCTGCCTGCCTCTCTAGCCTCACCTTGTCCCACCCCCTTGGCACCTTCTGCTCCTGCCAGGCAGAGTCAACCTTACCTGGCTCTTCTGCCCTCACCTCTGGGCCTGTGTGCTGCCGCCCTCTCCTCTGCCCTGAGGCCTTTCTTCCTCACAACTCATCCATTAAGACCAAATCAAGTACTGAAGATACCAGCTCTGCTGGTACCCTGCTTGCTGAGCCCGCACAAAGCCCTTGGTTTCCGTCCCCAGCACCACCAAATTCAAAGCCATGCATGGTCACACAGGCCTGTAATCCTGTCACTCAAGAGGTAGAGACAAGAGGATCACAAGTTCAATGTCATCCTCAGTTACAGAGGAAATTCAAGGCCAGCCTGGGCAATGTGAGATCCTGTCTGGGAAAACAGAAACAATGAACAGGGTCATCACAGAAGGAGTGGTCTCCTCTGGGGAGCCTTCCATGATGTGGTCCTGCCCAGGGCTGGGCTAGATGGCTCAACTTGTGCTCCCACAGACCCTGCTTACTCATGCCATCTCAGTCCATATTATCATGGCCTTCTCCATGAACCCGACCTGAATTAAACTGTATGTATGTGTGTGTGTGTGAGCGTGTATGTGTGTGTGTTAAAATAATCTGTGTATTGGAACATAGATTTCAGAATTTGGTCACAGGGGTTCAGAAATCCCAGCTCCACGCCTTCCTTGATTCTCTCTCCGCCTCAGTGTCCCCCTCTGTAATATGTCAATAAATCTGCCTCCCAGCATCGTACGAAGACTTTGGTGAGATAATCCGTACAGAGACTCACCCTAAATTTACACCCAGTAGCTGCTTTATCGTTTCCAGCACCCAACAGAATGCTTAGAAAATGTCAAGTGAGCAAGTAGCATTGTGACGGGCGGGTGTGCTCGAGTGTGTGTGTGTGTGTGCGTGTGTGTGTGTGTGTGTGTGTGTGTGTGTGTGTGGCAGGCGTCATACAGTGGGCAAGTGGGGTGGGACTGTGGGGTCGAGAGCAGAATGTTCTAGCAGTCAGGTCCTGTATACATGTGTGTCCACTCTGAGAGGTAATGGCTTGGTTATTTATGGCCAGGGCTTAAGGAAAGGAAAAAAAAAGACAAACCAGTGTTCAGTAATGACAAAGTAATTACCTTTTTATTATTTTTTCAATAGGATTCAGAGGGAGTGTGGGCCCTGGCTGTAGAGAATATCTAGCCTGGCTTCCTGCTGCTTTGTGTTGTCCCCGTTCCCACTGGCCCGACAGTGCTGGCCAGCCCTGAGCACGGCTCCTTGCCATGGAAGAGTTGGAAGCGGGAGAACAAGGCCACCTCGATCACAAAGCAGAGCTACAGAGGTGATGCTGTCCACAGAGAAGGCCTGACCCAGAGTCAAGACCCAGAGACCAGTTCAGAGTTGAAGGCCGAGATCCAGAGGTTGAGGCTGCCGATGATGGCCGTGCAGGGAGCTGGTGGCCGAATGTGAGCAGAACCAGTCCCTTTGACCCAGCCAGTGTTTCCTCTTTCCACGTGACTTGCTTAAACAAGTCTACTTAGTCACTAGAGACCCCAAGATTTCTTCTTGGAGGGATTTCTTTGCTAGAAAATCATCTGATTGTTGAAGACTTAAATTCAGAGCGCCAGACCCCCATGTTGACCAGGGTATCTCCAACTGGAACTGGCTGGCTGATTGGCCAGTGGCCATCTGAAAGTAGCTTTTCCTATGGATCTGTGAAGGGAGCAAATATCAGAATTAGCTTCTTGTCCACCCATCTCTACATCTTATCCATCCATCTGCCCATCCATCCCATCCATCCTTCCAAGCATCCATCCATGCGTCCAAGTTGCCATCCATTGATCAATGCAACCTTTATCTGGCCACCCATCTAGTCAATAATCGTTTTACCCATCCATCCATCCATCCATCCATCCATCCATCCATCCATTCATTTATTCACACCCATTTTCTTATCCCTTCACCCAAGAAGCTGTGCATCTGACACCTGTCCATCTGTCTATGTAATGAACACCCACTGAGTGCCTCATCTGTTGGGCGCCCTGCTAGGACCGATGGGCCTGGCAATGTTGATACGCACAAACACATTATAAGAAACTCCAGGAGCCTAGGAAGCTCTTCTCGAAGACTCCCAAGCTAAGTGCAGGTGGACGAAGTTTGATCTGACAGGCTGTCAAGCTGTCTGGGTTCCGAGGATCTGTGCTTGTTTGCTGGGTGCCCTTGACTATGCCCCTTTCTCTTTGCTGTGACTTCTCCCTCTGTCATTGAGAGGTAGACCACCCTGAGAGAGACAACCCTATGCAGAGATGTCTCTTGGGTGAGGAATGTGATTGGAAGATTGTCAAGCCCCAGAGGCCAGGGATGCCTTTGGGTTTTAGTGAGCCGATGAGAACCAAAAGGTTCTAGAAGGGGCAAAAAAACTGAAGTAAATGAAAACTCAGGACGGGGAACTGGCAGCACCCTGCTCTGTGGATCTGCAAACTGCTTCTCGGCTGTCTGTCTCCCTTGCCATGTGGGGTTTCAGCCCTGGGATCCCTGATGGCAAATAACTGACAAGAGCTGGGCCCTCGGTCCCCTCCCCCAGCCGTGCCGCCCACAGCTGTGATAACCCACACGTAGCACTCTGCCCTCTGGAATTTATTTTAAGGTCTTGGCTTGTTTATTTATTTTATTTAGAGATTTCTCGGCGCTTTGTGGGGAGGAAAATTCGAATGGGGTGATTATGAAATACTATTTCACCTCACTGTTCATTCACAACAAACAAAGAGAAATGATTGGTGATTAAAAATGCATTCTCTCTGCTTGTTTTCTTTTGTTTTACCATTATGGAAATATTATAAATACTGAATACTAATCTGGACCTGCAGGGACCTCAAGACCTTCCAGAAAACAAGCCTGCTCTCTTTCCTTGGGGCAGCCTTATGCTGTCCCCTTGAGAACCAAACTATGATCCAATCCACCCAAGGGTGCTGGCATTGCCCTGGTCCCTGGCCAGAAAGCCTCACCACTTTGTGTAGCCCCCTCGGAGAACCTCCCCGGACAGCAACAGGACTCCCCTATACTCTCGTTCCACTCCTCTGCTTCAGCAGGCAGAATGGAGTGAAGGAATGCAGAGCCCTGAATCTCGAGAGCACTTAATTAGTCCCCGAATCACTTTTGTGGAGTTTCGTTCCCAGCTCAGGCAGCCTGAGCCCAACTTTCTGGTCCTACTGTTTTCTGGCCGTGTGACCTTGAACACACTGCGTTTCTTACTGAGCTTCTATTTCTCCCTCTGTGAGATAAGAGAAAAGGTGGCACCCACATACAGACTTGCACCCACAAACAGATGGAGAGGGATCCTAACAGCCTACCCATCACACAGCCTGACAAACAAAAGTACTCAGCAGATGTTGGGTTCTGCTTTGACTCCAATCCCATTCCCTCTCCTTTGCTGGCCTCAGTTTCTCCTCCTAAAACAGAAAAGCACATCACTGCTCTCTAAGATCCTCCAACTGTGGTGACCTGAAGCAGAGGGCCTCCCCCCCACACACACACACACACAGATTCTCACAAAAGCATTGACTCTTTCCCGAGGACACAGCCTTGTCTACTTGAAAATGCCAAGCTTCCTCATTGAAGTTGGCTTTCCCGGTCCGTTTCCGAGCCACACACCAGGCACGTTCTCTTCTGTTTCGATCAGAAACAAATCCAGAGTAAGAATTCCAGGGCCCGCTCCTGTTCCAAAGTCCTGCACCAAGTCCAGAGACACAGTCCCAAGGTGTCCGCGATCCTTTCATCTTTCGCTTTATTTAACCAAATTAACCACTCCTCGTGTCCCCTGCCCGAGTGTCTTTTTCCGTCATATAAAATACAATCACGCCTGCTTGCTACATGTTTCAGATACTTTATCATTAACATCAATTCCAGCCAAATTAGGAGTTTCTCCCAACATAATTGCCCTTCCCATTATCCGGTGCTTTATTTTTTCAAAGCACTTTCCGACCATTAATTAGTTAACCCTTAGGACGCCCCAGAGCTGGCGCTCAATGTCACCCTCCCTGTCTCCTGGCTGGGAAGAGGAGGTAAGGAGGGGCCAGGTGCTTTTCTGGAACTCACTCTGGTTGGGGGGGGTGGCTAGGGGAGAGGGTGAGGCCGTGGGAATCCTCTTTCCAGTTTTAGTGTCTCCGCCTGGGCCAGGTCCAGACCTGGACTGCCAGCATCTGAAGGTGACAAACTTAGGAAGGAGTCCCCAGGACTTTAAAATGGGTGGGATTCCTAACATTTTAAACCCTGTCTCTGTGGCTTGCTCAATGAAAGAAGAGAGTGTGGGTAGCCACACCTCTGCTGGGCACAGGAAATAGAATAAGGAACTTCTCAGGCCTAGAGGCATCCATGCCTCGAACTGTGTGCTTGTTCCCAGCGTCCACACCACCCACTAACAGGAGCCAGATAACATGGTTTCCCTCCTCTAGAATGCCGCACAGCGAGGGGCTGGCTATCAATGTGATCAGTAACAGCCAAACTAAGGAAAAACTTTACAGAATTAGATCTTTTGCACCATTGCAAAAGTGAGGCCTGGTTCCCTCCGACTCTCTGCTGGTGCCTTCATACATTCTCCTCTCCTGGCTCAAGGCATCCACAAGCTTTTGTGGTCCCAAGTTAGGTGGGCAGGTGCAAATTTTAGGGCAGACATCCCAGGAACCATCTGGAAGAATCATCATGATTCATTTCTGGCATGGGATTCTGGCTCTGTGGTGAACTCCGATCACGGCGGCTAGGGATAAACTGTCAAACTACCAGTGTTTTACATTTATGGCCTCTCTATGGGTTGGATTTCTTTAATGATTTTTTTTTCTTAAAATACATGAGCTGGCTCCTACAGGGACATTGCCAGGAACCTGTAGAGAGGCTTTCCAAGGTGCTCAGGTAGACTTCACACATCCCTCGGTTTGAACAGCACAGCCTAGACGCTGGGGCTACACAGGCTGAAGCAGCCAACCGCCTGAAACCGTCCCTTGTCCTTCTACCCGTCCCTCACCACTGCTCTGCACTGATAGGGGGACCTGCCAGGGCAGCAGAGAGGAGCTAGCCATTTGGTCTTCACCCTCAAGATGCTGGGGTCCAAGCCCCAGCTCTGCTGTCTGTAAGTAGATCGGTCTTGGGCAGAAAGGCCCATCTACAACACCATGTAGACACCGTGGGAAGGTGTTAACACCCTTCTGGCCCACTGCGAATGCTCAGGGCATGTGAGCTATCAAGAAATGGATAAATGGTTGTTTAAGAGTTTCAGTCTTCGCTGGGCAGCGTTGGTGCACGCCTTTAATCCCAGCACTCAGGAGGCAGAGGCAGGAGGATTTTTGTGAGTTCGAGGCCAGCCTGGAACTCAGCCTGGAACTTGGAACAGAGCAAGTTCCAGGACAGGCTCCAAAGATACAGAGAAGCCCTGTCTGGAAAAACAAAACAAAAAGGAGTTTCGATCCCACATTTTGTTTCATTTCTTCTTTGTGGGTCGGGGTATGGAAGGGGAGAGTACTGGGGTTCGAACCCAGGATCTTTCGTGTTTTAGGAAAGAGCTCTACCACTGTCTTAGCTACAGTTTCTGCTGCTGTGATAAAACACCATTACCAAGTTTATTCCAGTTTATAACCCTCAGGTCACCCTCCGTCACTAAGGAAAGCCATGGCATGAACTCAAAGCAGGAGACAGGAACTGATGCAGAGGCCATGAAGGGGTGGCTTACTGGCTTTCTCCTTCATGGTCTGTTCAGCCTGCTTTCTAATAGTGCCCAGGACCACCAGCTTAGGGATGGCCCCACCCATGATGGATGGGGTCCTCCCCCATCAATCACTAATTAAGGAAATGTTCTACAGGATTGTCTATAAGCCAACCTATGGAGGCATTTTTCTCAGCTGAGAGTCCCTCTTCCCAAATGGCTCTAGCTTTAAGCGAGTGGGCACAAATTAGCCAGGACAACCACTGGACCACATGCCCATCACCCTCCAGCATTCATTTCATCCGCATCTCCTTTCTCTCGGGTTCTGGGTCTGCGTGTGCCAGCCAGGTGATGGGGTGGGGTGATGCCTTCAAACTCCTCCCTCTCCGGAGAGGAGAATTAAGAGGGTCAGATCCTCATCTGCTGCCCAAGATACGTTTGCCACCTTCTTGGTGTCCTCATGCTTCCAGCTCAGCCCCCTCATCATCACAGCAGCTCCCACATCACCAGGAGAGCAGGGCGGGTCTGGCCTAGGCAGGGCAAATCCTCAGCTGCCACCAGATGTGCCTGCCGCATCCTGTGAGCAGCACTGCTACCAGGAGATGCTTGGATTACCCATGGAACTGCATACTTCCTGGGCAAAGCTCTCTCCCTCTCCTCCCCTCCCCACCCCATGTCCCTTCAACTTCTGGAACTCTGTGCAATTATATACACTAGCTTCAGATTGCCCCAAACCAGGGTTATCTCTCCTCCTGCTGATGCCCCCACCCGACAGACTCACCAAACAACATGAATGTCCATCATCTATCTGTTCATGATATCCCACACCGTGCATTCATCTAGTTACTCAGTGAACACTCACCAAGTACCAAGGATAGCTGGGTGGATGAGGCTTGGATCGTGGATCCCCCCCAAGAGAACTTTGGCAAGTGCCTTAACCTAACTGTGCACTAACCTTCACCTGTGGGAGGGGATGAGGGGGTCCACGCCCAGAACTCAGCACAGTGAGTGAACAGTAGGCTTTGCACCAGTGGTGCAGTGCACAGCTACATTAAGCATAAAACTCAGTCTAAGAACCATAATGGACAAAGCGTTGAATTTGATGACTATCAAGAGTTTGTAATACAACAGGTTCAGGTTTCTGCAGGTACACTGACCAGTTGAGAGCTCTAAAAAAACCACAATTACTGAAGTTCTTCATGCCACTAGTTCACAGGGCACTTACCTGGAGATGTTGCCTCCTCTGGGCTTGTGGTTCACATTTCACCTAAGAAAAATTAAAGTTCAAAGAAGTTAGGTAGCAGGCTGGAGAGATGGCTCAGCAGTTAAGAGCACTGTCTGCTCTTCCCAAGGACCTGGGTTCAATTCCCAACACCCACCTGGTGGCTCACAACTGTCTGTAATGCCAGGATCCAATACCTTCTCACAGACATACATACAGGCAAGCACCAATAAAAAAATAAATTTTAAAAAAAGAAGTTAGGTAGCTTTCTTCAGGTCCAGCACCACATGGCACCAATCACAGACTCTGCCCTCTCCAGTGATCTAGCATCACAGGGCACCACACCATAGACTCTGCCCTCCTCAGTGGTCAAGCATCACAGGGCATCAATCACAGACTCTGCCCTCTTCAGTGGTCCAGCACCACAGGGCACCACACCATAGACTCTGCCCTCCTCAGTGGTCCAGCATCACAGGGCATCAATCACAGACTCTGCCCTCCTCAGTGGTCGAGCACCACAGGGCACCACACCATAGACTCTGCCCTCTCTGGTGGTCCAGCATCACAGGGCACCACACCATAGACTCTGCCCTCTCCAGTGGTCCAGCATCACAGGGCACCACACCATAGATTCAAGAAAAGCCACGTCCTTGACTGTGGCAGTGAAAACTACAAAAAGCGTTTGGAAAAAAGGGTCAGAGTTGGCCTTACCTGCCCCATGGCTCTCCCCAACCTCTTGACCCTTGCTTGGGATTCACATCCACCCCAACCCTGGGTCCATGGATATTCACGCTGAGCAGGGACCCCCTTCTCAGAGGTCTCAGTGGCACCTCCCTGAAGCTGGCAGGGCACACAGTCACTTTCCCAGGGAGATCCCGTGCGTGACTCTGGGTAGAGGTGGAACTGCTCTGCCTGGCCTGCAGTGCCACCGTCTCAGGCCTGCCTGGACCACTGTCCTCCTTCTCCCCAGGGATCAGCTGTAGAGACCCCAGGGAGGCTGTTGCCAGCTTGTTTTAAACCTCATTCTAACCCAGTGGTTCTCGACCCTCCTAGCGACCTTTAATACAGTTCCTCATGTTGTAGTGACCCCCCCATCACAAAATTACTTTGTTGCGACTTCACAACTGTAATTTTGCTACTGCTGTGAATTTTAACGTAAATATTTGATATGCAGGGTGTCTGCTATGAGACCCCCCCCCAAGGGGTCATGACCCACAGATTGAGAACTGCTGCTCTAACCCTTTGCGATGGAGTCTGCCACTATCTGTATCCCCCGATGCTTAACCTGGGGCTTCCAGAGGTCCAGAGACTGACCCGGCACAGTGTCTCTGGCTCCCAGGTCCACGCCCAGCAGGTACACAGTACACAGTTGAGATGTGTTTGTTGAATAAATAAAAACACACCCTGGAGTGACTACTTGAAAGATGACAACGCCTATGAGATGGACCTTACCATGAGCCAGTGCAAACGACAGGATTTCTCCATGGTGGCTTGTGTGGCCTTTACAACTGTCCTATAGGCAGGGACTGTCATCCTCACCTGCATTTATGCAAATCAGGCCCCAGGTAAAGTGACTCATTCGGAGCAGAAGCCCAACAGCAGGAAAGAGCTTGACCCAGGCATCTGGAAGCAGCGGCACTCCAGCTCCCCGCCATGACAGGGCTTCTGGTAAATCAGTACTGGGGACCCAGAGATCTTAGGGCCTCAGAACTCTGACCCTAGTCTCTCCCTCTACCCCAGCAGCAGCTTGTGTCCTCAGCCTGCAGCCAAGCACAGGGACGGGTTTCTCCTCAGTCCTGACGGCCCTCCTGGCACATCCCCCCATTACCTATACAGGGAATTAAGACTCAAATCCTCGTTTGACACGATGCAGGAGGATGCTAAGTACTTAAGCGTTAATTAATTAGTGAGCGGTACCTGCTGCCATCAGCCACTGGAGGAAACCTCAGGCAGACCTCCAGAGTGCCAGTGTCCTTCCGCCATGCAGTCCCAGGGCCAGCCAAGCATGAGGACAGAGAGGAGGGGGCTGGCTGCACGATCCTGACCCAGCCCCCGGTGAAAAGGGGTCTGAACCAACCAGGATCCCTGTCTTCCAAGTCCCCCAGAAACTGGGATGTGGGGGCTAAGGTTCTGGGACCTGCCCAGCATGCCAGGACCTCTCAGCATGCCAGTGAGACTCTCTCTGAGTGAGGAAGTTTCAATTTGTATGACTTTGCCAGAAACTCTCAAAAGAAAGCAAGACCCCATAGCAGGCCCAGTTGGGAGGTCACTACAGAAAGAAGCATCTTGCTCTCCCCAGTCAGCTGGTTTGTGTTTTTCGAGGCTGGGCCAAGAGGCAGGCAGGCAGGCAGGCTTCCCAGTAACAAAGAAGGGGCCCCCTAAAGACAGCTGTACCGAGGGAGTACCAGTTAGAGCGGGCGCTCTCTGCTCATCGTGACTTTAGCTTTACCATCTGTGGTTAGCCAAGGTCAATTTCCCTGGTGGGGCAGATGTGAACAGGAGCCAAAGGTCTGGAATCAGATTCGAGTCTCTTCTAGCTGTATGGCGTGTGTGAGTCAGTTTCTGAGCCTCAGTCTCCCCAGAGACAAAATGGGCTAGCAGTTCTCCATAGGCTTGTAGTGGGGATATACCATGGTGCGTAGGATACCCATAAATTCCTGTGTGCGGTGACTTCCCCACAGTAACCACAGAATAGGGAGTTAGTAGGAGCTGCTTCCATCCTCGTCTTCTTCAAGCCGTCTTCCCACTTGACTCTCACCATTCATTCGTACACATAGGTGAGAGAGCCCGACTCACGTAAATTACGCAGACTGTACGTACGCAGTCCTCACGTACATAGCCCAGACTGGTCTTAAATACGCCATTTCCTCCACCTCCCGAGAGCTGAGACTATCAGCGCCTGTTCCCACCGCACCTGGTTTGACCCTCATAACTCTGGAGCATGGTTGAGTAAACAGTCCTTCTGGTTTACTTGAGACTGTCTTAAGTTAACAACGAGAATTCTGTCTTCATGAAAACCCCTCCAAACCTAACACAAATTGGGCGAGTCAGAATCCCTGTTCTGAGAAGGATGGAGAAGCACGATGGACAGGAAGTGGGCAGAACGGCTGTTTTCACTACACCTTTTTCTTCCCAGTCATGACTTCTTCTTCTGGTACCTTCAAGCCCCTCCCCAGAGGTGGCCAAATTTGAGAAGGGCCGAACGAGGGGAGCTCAGAGTCCTGGGCAAGACCTCTAGATAGCTGAGCCCCAACTCCTTCCTGAAGCTATGACTTTCATAATGTCTCCCGGCCCGTGGCAGCCCTGGGCTCCGCCTCCCTCAATATTTGCTCAACAATCAGCCTAGAAACAGCATTGTTCAGGACAAAAAATGAAAAACATTAGACTAGAACTTATTTTTTTCTCTGTTGTCCAAATACCTCTGGGTCCTCAGGAGGGGAGGGGAGGTTATTCCCACGGCAACACCTGGAAGACCGGCCAGGCCGGAACTGGGACGCTTGGCTCTAATTCCTAACCTCTACTGTCTCCAGCAATTTGGGGTACAGCCTCAGTTTCCCCAGGTGCTCCACGGAGAGGGGCTTCAGACCAAGAAGGAGCAAAGCAGGAGAACGTTTAGCTGAACCAAAATTGCACTCACCTATTTCTTAATGAAGTCTCATCCCCAAGGAAGAAGGTTAGGATACTCACCTGAGAGCCAGTGAGATAGCTCAAAGGGTAAGGAATCTACCACACAGGCATGAGGACATGAGTTCAGATCCGTGAGCAAGTCAGATGTGGCCACATGCATCTGTAACCCCCACACTGGGAGACAGAGACAGGAGGTTCTCCCGGATTTCACAAGTTCAATGATGAGGTCTTGTCTGAAAAAAAAAATGAGATGAAGAACAATTAAGGATGTCACAGAAGTCAACCTCTGATGCCCACAGGTGCCTGCACACCAACACATGGACACATATGCATGAATACATGCCCCTCTCTCGCGTGCACACACACGTGCGCACACACACACACACCAATGACAACAACTAACCCAGAGTCAGTCAAGGAAGTGAGAGGAGAGAACTACTATTGGCATTTCCAGAGAGCCAGAGTTACCCCAGAAATGGGCTTTCTCTTTTTATTTGTTTGCTCATTAAACACCTTTATCAAGGGCCGAGGAAGTGAGCTGAGGAGCAAGCACAGAGTCGGCATCCATTCCCCCACCCCACAGATTCTCAAGCCTGTGTGCCCAGCATCCCATCTCTCTGTCCCAGCAGGGAGAAGATAAGAGCCCTGAGGGGACCTCACAGTCGCACGCTCGGCTTTCTCTTCATACACAGGAGGGACGGACCAGCGGTGTGTCCAGTTTACCAGCGGGGCCAGGCAGTCTGGCATGCAAATGGGCTCCGGGTCTGAGCAGAGCCTGCTGAACATGTGAGGGCTCACCAGCATAGGCCAGGAATACTGGTACCAGAGAGGAAGCAGGACCGGGGCTTCTTGGGCTGCGCGGGTGGTAGAGACTTTCATTCATTGGTTCATTTTTGCCATGCTGGGAACGGAACCCATAGCCTCCTACATAAATGGACACTGCACAAGTGCTCTGGCAAGGAGCCTTTCTCCAGTCCTCCAGGCATTTCTGAAACAGCCACTTCCAGAGAATCACAGCAGCCCTTTAAGCCTACTCATCCTCATGCCCCTGTTCTAGCGCAAAGAGGGGAAACTGAGGCACGAATAGGTTCTCCACAGCAGAGCTTGAATTCAACAACAGGCCTGTTTGACTCAACCTGGCCTGACTATGTTGCCCATAAAACCCCAAACTCTTCCCCTTCACGGCAGTGACGTCAACCACCTCGGTGGCCTGTGTCTTTGTTTCTTTGTTTGTAACATGGGTCAATAACAATACCTCGTCCGATTACCAGGAGGGTGCAGTGGCATATCTAATATAAGGTGCCAGACATGTAAAGAGCACTTGATAATATAGCCATTGGCACCATTGCCGGTAACGGGCAGCACCTGTGACAACTATAAGGCTAGTATGGGTTCTCCTGGAGCTAGACATTCAGAAGCCTAGGGACCTTGTGTGACATCTGAGTTTAATCTTACTGCAACTGTCCACCCAGCTCCATTTATCCCCAGCTCCTCTCCAGCCACTCCAAATGCCCTGCTTTTGCAGGATCTTTTAAGGTCCTATGCGCCTGTAGCCGGAATAAAAGTCACCTGCTCAGTTGTCCATGAACCCTCCCCTTGTGCCTATTCCTTGCCCTATATTTTTGGTGGGGTAGGGTGGTACAAAAGGCCTCATTTGCAGCCTGAGGCCTGGATTCTCAAGTCTCTCCCCAGCTTGGTCCCCACAGACTCCACGCATCTCCTGGAGACAAGGCTGAAGGAGCCTGAGGAATGTGAGAGGTTGGGGAGTGAGTGCAAGCCCTGGACTGGGCTGAAGACAGAGGAATAACTATCCCTGGGGACTCCGTCTCCTCTTTATGAGGCTGGTCCTGGGCCACCCCTGCTCAGTTTTTGCCTATTGAGGGCTCTTCTCAAAGTCCACCAGAGCCCCCTATCTCAGGGCCAGCGGGACTTCATGTGTCTCTTGTGTCTTGGTCACAAGGTCCTTGGTGTCTCTGCCATCTTCTCCAGTTTGTCCTTCGCCTTCCCTCTGTCCCTGTTCTGACACCCCTGTCAACCACTGTCCCTCCCTCAGGCCTCAAAGGATGCCCCAGGCTTGACTCTTGGACTGGCCGTATGTCCCGTCCCAGGATGCTGTCTCTGCCTGATCCTCGCTCCACAGCCCCCCGTTGTTGGCCTCACAGAAGCAAGTGTCCCCTCAACTACCTGTCCTTCTGCTGAGATTTCAGGGGGTCTGGTTTGGTGTGTCAGACACACCTGCTCTCTGCACGCTCACGCTGATCAAGTTCAACCTATTCTTCCGCACCAAGTGTTAATGAAGGACCTACCATGGGCACTTCCGAGATGAGCCTACCCGACTTGCAATGCCGCATACTAGACCCCACTCCCACCCCCGACCCTAGAGGCTGCTGGGACACTACCTTGAAAAGGACTCTGAAAATGTGTGGTCCCTGCACCCTCATGGCCCCATAGCATCTTTAAGGCCAGAACCATGTGTCGATGTTACTGTCTCCTCCCCTACCCGGCCATGTAGAGCACAGGGAGACTTGGCCCAGTAGACCTCCAGCAGGATGCGAGTGTGCCTTGGAACCTCCCAAGTGCCAGATGGGGAAGAGAGACTGTTGCCTGTTGTGGGGCTTCCTGAGGGAGGTGCCTTGGGCAGGGCCTGAGAGCATGCAGAGGCTCAAAGGAGTTGGGAGGGAACCGGGAACTGGGCAGATGCTCTCTGGGGTGGTGGGGGTTGGGATGGAGATGGGAGGAGCCGAAGAGTGGGAGTGAAAATGGATGGGGTGTTTGTGTACGCCAGGGCCAGAGAGGGACCTGTGAATAACATTTAGGAAAGAGCCAAGGTGCCCAACTGGCTGTGCCATACCCAGGCCCTTCTTCTTGACTCGGCCTCGGGTGGTTGGGGCCATAGGTTTTTTTCCACAGGGAAAGCAATGGCTGAAGTCTGGGACAGAGACAAGGGTACCCTCCCCCAATCATGGAGCCTGGGGAGTGCCCTGGGCAGGGCTTGCCCAGGCCTGGCACACCAGCTGCGCCCTCCACCCTGGGACGTCCTGTACCCAGGAGGACTTATTAAAGGGACAAAGGTCCCATGGGGTGCAGGCACCCCAGGCTCAAGCCTGGCAGTTGTCCCAGGCCCTGGCTGCAGCAGGAACCCCTACTCTCAACTCTGGTAGCTGAGGCCTTGGAGCTCACAGGGTAGATCTGAGGCGTGGGGCCAGTCTCTTTGGTGGAAAACGGCTCAAGCCACGTAAAGACGCTGCTACTTGGCGACTGCTCTTTACCTACAGAGTGCAGGTAGTACCCAGGGTGCTTCAGGCCAGCAGCATGGAGGATGAATCTTTGATCTGAGTGAGTTATGTGGCCTTGGGCAGGCAATGTGACCTCCTGGACTTTTCATCCCCATCTCTGAAGAAGAAGAAAAAAAAAAGCAGGGTTAAGAATAGTGCCTATCATTCATGACTCACCGAGAATATGTTCAAAACCACCTCAGATCCAGGGCAAAGGAGATGCTCAATAAATAGCCACCTTGCTTTGCTGTCATTAGGGTAGGGGGATGTGCAGGTCACCTCTGGGCTCTTCCTGCAAATTCCAGAGGCGAGGAAACCACCGAAGACAGTTGGCACACTGGGTGGCAGTACCACGGTCCCCAGTGCACCCTGGGAGTTGGCCAGGTGTGACGGGGATGGGCGTGTGGGCTGCAGCCCCCAGAGCAGAAGCTGGGGTGATCTGGCTTCAGGGAGTTCTCCCTGAGGCCAGCACAGGACAGGGGACAGCGATTGCTGAAACAGGGTGTGGGGGCAATCAGCTGTGAGAAAGTGGACCTGGGTTTATTATTGCTGAATGTTATCATCCTTGATAAGAACCAGATTAAAATGGAGAGAGGGGGAGGTGCAGGCAAGGGTGGGGAGGGCAGGGAGAGAATCAAAGGGCAGCCTGGTGTGCTGAGCAAGCCCTTAGCTGTTCTTGGGACCTGGTGGGGACCCTAGAGCTGACCTCCTACTTTGGGGAGGCCCTGGAGACAGGCAGAACTTGATGGTGGAGGGAAGGCCAAGGTCTCCTAAGCAGAGGCTCCTTCCCCGGGTATAGTCCACCCATTCTGGCCTCTGCTGCCTGCCGTTGCTGGAGCTGCCAATTAGTCCTAGCCGTGCGAGGGACAGACCTGGATGGAATCCCAGCTAGGCCACGCAGGCAGGCAGGCCCAGTGACCTTGGGTCTTCCAGTCTCAGTTTCCCCACCTTTCAAAGCAGAGATCCAGGCTGCACAGGGGTATCTGCCTCCCCACGCTGTGGCTTTCCAAACAGGAAACAGGAGTTACTAGGGAAGGTGTCTGCCACCAAGCCCGATGACTTGAATGCAATCTCTGGGACTCCACATGATGGAAGCAGAGAACCAACGCCTGCAAGTTGACCTCTGACCTCCATGCCCATCCCCACAAATAAATACGGAGGGGGGGAGGTTGACTGTGCATGTGTGTGTGTTCATGTGTATATTAAGGTGTAAGTGTGTGTGTGTGTGTGTGTGTGTGTGTGTGTGTGTGCCCACATGAGGAAGCCAGAGGTCAACCCTGAGTGTCATTCCTAAGAAGGTATTTACTTTATAATTTGTTGTTAGTTTCTTTGGAGACAGGTCTCTCACAGGCTCACTGATTAGTTGACAGGCCAGCTGGCCAGCCCTGGGAATTCTGTCTCTGCCTCCCAGTGCTGGGAATTTTTTTAGCATGCATCCTGGAGATTGAACTCAGGTCCTTAGACTTGCCCAGAAGAGCCATCTCCCCAACCACGGGACACGTTTTGTGTCTAGCATTTTCTTTGTCCCTTTTGCTGTGGATGGCTGATGGGGGCTGCTAGCCATCAGGTTTGCTGACTTCTGCCCTCTTCTCTGAAATATTGCCCCCCCCACGCCAGACTATGTGAAGCAGGTGAGTCCCGTGTCACAGATGTAAAAGCTAAAGTGGGAAAATAGTTTGCTCCTCCCAAAATGGGAGCCCAGGAGTTCTGGCTGCCTATACTGGCTGCTCCCTCGATGACCAGCCTCTTTGACATTCCAGCAGAGCTAGGGGCCTGGCTGAGAGGGCCTTAGATTGCTGGGGTGTCAGGCCAGTGTGACTCAGGGGCCCTCAGCCCCCAGAGGTGTCTCTGGCCCTGTAGCAATTCCACTCTACGACAGGCCTCCCAGGCACCCCTGCCATCAGAAGGCTATAAAAAGAAACACTTTCAGCCCCAGACTGTGACCTGTGCAACTTCACAGAATCCAGTGAAAACCGGAGATAACCTTGGGGAGGTCCGACCTTCAAGAGGGGTATGACAGGAAGGGGACACCCTGGGCTGGAGCTTGCTTGGCCTGGGTTGGGGACAGAGCATGTGTTTGTGTTGTGAATTCAAGTGCTGCAGAGTTCCTCAGAAGTCCTGGAGAATGAAAGTAACTGCAACAGCAAGTGTTGTTACTGCCGGGAGCCTGGGGATCCAAGGCCCAGGGGCTTTGCGCTGGCCCCAGGTCTCCTCAGTGTTAGCGAGGTGGGTCTTCTCTTATTCCTGACAGGCCAAGGGAACATGGCTCAGAAAGAATCAGTACCTTGCCCTAGTTAACACAGTTAGAGAGGAGAGGAACTGGGATAGGAGACTCAGTTCAACCATCCTCCTCTTCCCCAAAACGCCTCAGGACCTCTGTGTGGGCTGCTCTGACTCAAGGACTTGTTTCTCTCTCTCTCTCTCTCTCTCTCTCTCTCTCTCTCTCTCTCTCTCTTGTTTTTTGAGACAGGATTTTTCTGTAACTTTGGAGCCTGCCCTGCCTCTCTTGTAGCCCAGGCTGGCCTCAAACTCTGAGATCTACCTGTCTCTGCCTTCCGAGTGCTGGGATTAAAGGCGTGTGCCACCACCCGACTGGCTTATATCTTCTCTTTGTCTAACGTCTCTCCTCCCAGCTTCAGCTAGGTACTATTTCCTTAGAAAAACCTTCTTCTTCCTTCTTTCCTTCCTTCCTTCCTTCCTTCCTTCCTTCTTTTCTTCCTTCCTCTCTCCCTCCCTCCCTCTCTCCCTCCCTCAACACCTATGTCCTAAGGGCTAGTTACACAACAGTGACCTTGAGAGTCTGAAACCCCGCACTGTACTACAGGGCTCTGAGCTGCCCTAGCCCAGGGATTCCTTCCCACCCTGGGAAGATATTGCCACATCCTGAAGGAAGATGAAACCACAGGATAAAGCTGACACGTCATCCCAAGGTATTTGCCTTTCATTTAAGCAACATAATCTATTATGGGATTGCATGTCAGGAATTTTATTTTTATCCTTGTGTGTATGCACAGCACATGTGTGGAGGTCAGAGAGCATCCTGGGCAGCCACCAGGAGATAGGGTCTCTTTGCTTTTATGCTGCAAATGCCAGGCTAGCTTGCTCATGACTGGGACCACAGTTGTGCCCCATCACGCTTAATTTCTGCTTGTTATTCTAATTGTGTGTGTGTGTGTGCGTGTGTGTGTGTGTGCGTGTGTGTGTGCGTGTGTGTGCGTGTGTGCGTGTGTGTGCGTGTGTGTGTGTGTGTGTGTGTTCATCTGTATGTGGGCATGTGCACATGAATACAACTCCTGTGGAAGCCAGCGGCAACAGCTCTCTCTGGAGCTGCCATTGCGGGAGGCTGTGAGCCATCCCCTCAAGTGCTGAGACCTGAACTCGGGTCCTCTACAAGAGCAGTTTGTGCTCTTAGCAGTGGAGCCCTCACTTCAGCCCCCACGCCTGGTTTTCTGTGGATTCTGGGGACCCAAACTCAGGCCCTCATACTTACACAGCGAGCACTTTATCTACTGAGCTGCTCCCTAGCCCAAGGAATTAAAAAAAATATTTCTTGGTTTTATTTTTTGAGACTTGCTGTATAGCCCAAGCCGGCCTCAAACCATGTAGCCTAAGCTAGCCTTGAACTCCTCACCCTCCTGCTGGGGAATCATATACATATATGACTCCTTTTATTTTATTTTTTTTATTTTATTTTTGGGTGCTAGTGCTTGAACCCAGGGCCTCTAGTTAAACATATACACCATCGCTGATCCCAGCCCTGGAATAACATATTAAATAAGGTGTTTCCCCTACATTTTACTTATTATGATTGTGTGTATGTGACGCCTGTAGGGTCATGCACACATGTGGGGGTCAGAGGACAACTTTGGGGAGCTGGTTCACTCTTTTCACCTTCATGTGAGGGTGAGTCCCAGAGTCAGACTCAGGTCCCTGAGTTTGCAAAACAGATAGATCCCTTACCCACTGGACATCCTGTGGGCCCACATAAAAGTGGCCCTTTTGTCTTCACACTAAGACACTGAGACCAAAGACCGAGGTGAGACCCTTGGAGCTTCACTACCAAGCTACCCTGATGAAACTGTTCTTAACAACATGATGACAAAGTTTGAGACCTTGCGTCCCAGCAACTGAGGTGACCCAGCCTGAAAAAGCCAAGCCTTTATGGGTGGGAATGGGCACTAAATTTCTTCAGCCAATCCCAGAGCAAGGGACGTCAACCAGCGTGGAGCCAGACTGGAGCCCTTGAAGGCTCTAACCACACCAACAGATACCCTCAGGTGGGTCTCAACACCTCTCTGACCCTTCCTTGACTCCTAGGAAAACAACGGAGGTCTGGCTAAGGCCAGCACTAGCTGTCCAGCTTTGGGCAGTCCCCAGCCACCTCTCAAGATCATTTGCCTTGGCCCACTGTGTCCTCCCTCTCCATCCCCTCCCCTACAGAGTCCTTACAGAATGTCCAACCTGAGTCCCAGGTGAAGGAAGACCCTGCCCCATTCCGCCCTAGGCTCCAAAGTAAGAAAAGGGGGAAGCAAGAGGAAGGTCACATTGCTCACTTGGCCGGCTGCCTGGCTTTCATTAGGCCCGCTGCCTAATTTTCCGGGGCGTTGCTTGCTTTCTTGGCCAGTCACTCCTCTTTCTTAACTACCACAGAGCTGTCACGCCCCTGTCCCCTTACCCCCAGTATCCCGTTCTTACTGCTGCACCGCCTCACTGCCTCTTGCTGCAGTGGCAGCCGACAGCCCCTCTTCCTGGAGTCACCTGGGGGCAGACAGCGGGGTCTTGGGCACGCTCACTTGATCAACATTGACTACGATCGGACATTCGCTGAGCACTTACAGGGTGCCACGCTGGGAAACCCCAACAGTTTCCCCTGACAACCTTACAAGATTAGGGCTATTATTATCCCCATTGTCTGCCTGGGGAAACTGAGGCTCAGGTTGGCAAGTGTTAGAATGGGAACCTAGAGCAAATCCTTCAGCCCCCACTCATGGATATAGACTGTGGTTGTGTCTTCCCTTGGCTAAACTTGACCCAAGGATACACTTTTCTTCTAGATCTTTTCCCCATTTGCTCTTGAATGATGCTTTCCCTCCAGATAAGGAACCCAAGCCCAGACACTGGAAGTGAGCAGATTCTGGAGGTTCTCAGCGGGATGAGGTTGCTGAGACTAGGGGTTCTGGGTTCCAAAGCTGGTATATTGGAGTCCTAGGGCTGGTTCTCCTTTTAGGAGGTGGAATTTGGGACTCTTGGGGAAAGGATGAAGAGGGTGGCAAGGGTCTAGATCACCATGAGAACCCAACATCACCTCAAGTTTGGGTAAACGAAAGAGTGTTGACACTAAGTTGGCCTCCAGCGTTGACTCCACTGTGGG